GGGATTCACGTTGGCCCCGTGGCTGACGAGCAGCTTGACGACCTCGAAGTGGCCGGCTCCTGCCGCGCACCACAGAGCAGTGGCTCCATCAATGACAAAGCTGGAATGCAAAGGCAGAAACACGTGGTTAAGGTGCTGCTGTTTAAGGACGGCCGAGCAGCAGGCAAAGCAGCACGCACCTAGTCATTAAGGACGCTTCAGGGCCACCCTGCTTTTGTACCCAAGGGAAATTACTGGAATGTCAAGGGAAAAGAATGAGACCCATCACGTGCATGGACCTCCTGAAGGAGGAAACGCCGGGGGCTGAGACTCCAAAGCAGCCCTGGGTTTAGCCACATCTTCCACGCGAACTTCCCGAGCCGCTTTGGAGATCCCACCTCACGCTCCAGCCCCACGCAGACCCAGGCCTGGGAAGGAGGGCTATTACCAGCACTTTGGCCCCCACATGAGAAACGGGCACCTAAGAGGGAAACCTTAAAGTCCACATATTGACAAAAGGAGAATAAAGCGCAGGTGTGAGCAGAGCTGGACAACCCCCGGCTTTGGCAGCACTGAGGGCTTGAGGAATTCGTATCCTGTCACTCACTCTCTGTCCCTGCGCTGCAATCTGGCACCCCTTGCGTGTGGCAGCGTCTGTGAGACCACACTGCGAGGCAGAGCAGCAATCCGGTTAAAAAGGAAAAAAAGCTTTTAAAAAGCAGAGGTTATTTTAAGCAGTTTTGTTTCAGAGATCTGTTTTGCATTACAGCTCTGCTGGCAGCTTGCTGGCGCTCACAAGTGAGGGGACAGATAACTTGAGCAGAGGGCTCGCCGCTTTCATGGAGCCGTTTCCTGACACATAACTACAAAGATAAAGGCTGATGCTCTTCCCACTCCACCACGTCTTTGAAGCAGCGCTTGAACGCAGAAACAGGCGGCGCTCGCAAACGCCCAGAGCACATCCCAAACCCCAGGGGAAGGACAAGGATTTTATTTCCACGTGTCCACGTGGTCACGTTTTCCAGAGTTAAAGTATTGTAACACACCAAGTTAATTTTAGCGGTGATTTTTATCACTGCCAGGAAAAGTTTTGTGGCTTTTCACAACTCCAGCACCTCTGGACGGCACTTCAGAAGCCGAGTAAAGTCTCTGGAATGCAGAAATGTCTACAGAACAGATGTGGCTACCTTTACTCACAGTCATAAGTTCTTTATTTCACAAATCACCACACTAAAGCCCTTTTACATTAAAACACGGGCAGAGATTTCAGCGTCGGGACCTAAGATTTGTTAAGAACATAATTTATGGGTGTGCTACAGGTGTAAACATCCACAAGGCCAACGTTGGGACGCCAAATAGGTGGCTTCTCTGTGTCATGAGTGACGAGAGGAATGAAAATAACCCCTTTGTGGCATGTGGGGACACGTGAGCCGGGGACTCCTCACCGAGGCGTCCGCGCCAGGGAATAGGTGATAACACAGGGCGCTCATTGTGCCCGCAACAAAACTCCCGTGGATCCCTGCCAGGCAGCGGATCGGCGCCCGGCAGGAGAAGAGAAAAGAATCAGCAGCAACGCGGGGCCCGTTCAGTATTTTTGGCCAGCAGAGGCTCTTCATCTACCTAAAACCCGGGCAGATCCCCTCACGCTCGGCATTTCAAACTTGGGGAAAGGAGCTTTTCCTTGGACACAGAGAGCTGCAGCCCACATTGGCAGCGGGGACCTCTTCACAAATCTGATCTGACACCACAGCACATAAATCTGATCTGACACCTCGATACAGCACAGAATCCGGTGTTTTTCCAAGGACAGGAGCGTGCCTGCCACATCCCGGTGGGAAGGGGACATTCCCTTCCTCCTGCCACCTCACACAGGCACCCGCAGCCTTTACCACCCCACGTGTCACCTGGGGCCACCCTGCCCACGGGTTTCCGTGGTGAAGGAAGGGGCGGTTTCTGTGCTAATCCATGTATTTTTCTAGGAAAAGGCGCTTGGGAGCGCGCAGAGGACTCGCACTCACCCTGTGCTCCCCGGTCTCGGGAAGGGGACACAACCTGTGACACAGGGCACCGGGTGATGTCACAGAGCGGCCCATTTTGGGGGAGAAATAGCCATGGACGGGGTGTTACCCTCTCTGTAATTCCCAACGGGGGCATTTTGGAAGGGTAAAGGCACCTGAAGCTCTTATGGTACCATCAGTGGTGATGTGTGAGGTGCCTGCGCGGCACTATCATTAGGAAAGGAATCATCAGGGTTGGAAAAGACCTCCAAGGCCACCGAGTCCAACTGCCAGCCCCGCAACACCTGCTACACGGTGCCCCTGAGTGCCTCATCCACACGTTCATTGAACACTACCAGGGACAGCGATGCCACCACTTCCCCGGGCCTCTCCCAGTGCTTGCCATGCGGAAATTCATCCCACCTCCCAGCGCGTCCTGTGCAGAACTTATCCCATCTCCCAGCGTTTCCCGTGCAGAAACTCATCCCACCTCCCAACGCTTCCCATGTGGGAACTCATCCGATCTCCCAACGCTTCCCATGCGGAAACTCATCCCATCTCTCAGCACTTCCCATGCAGAACTCATCCCACCTCCCAACGCTTCCCATGCGGAAACTCATCCCACCTCCCAACACCTCCCATGCAGAACTCATCCCACCTCCCAACGCTTCCCATGTGGGAACTCATCCGATCTCCCAACGCTTCCCATGCGGAAACTCATCCCATCTCTCAGCACTTCCCATGCAGAACTCATCCCACCTCCCAACGCTTCCCATGCAGAAACTCATCCCGCCTCCCAACGGGACGTACCCGTCGAAGCGCACGGTGCCCGTCTGCTGCGTGTGCACGCGGTAGTGCTCGAGGAGCAGCCGCACCACCTTGGCGTGCCCGTTGCGCG